CCTAGAAACACACACCCTGGACATGTCGGCAGGAGAGACCCGGAGCTGGAGAAGGACATCACACAAAGTAAAGTAGAGTGGGCAACAAAAAGAGGAAGGTCCCCAAGGAGATGCATGAGCCCGGCGGCTGCAACAAGGGGCATAAGCATGATTGTGAGACTGGTGCAGGACTGGGTGGTGTCCTGCTCTGGGGGGGCATAAGAACCCACTGCCCGGCACCTAACGACATGCACAGACAGTAGTTGTCCTTTTTTGTTGTTGCTACCCACAAAAAGCGCTGCCCTAAGAACCCGTCTTAAGGATGGTCGTCTTGGTAAGAGTGCTTGAAGGCCTTACTCAGCGCCCTGCTGTCAGCCTGGGCCTCCGGGAAGTGCACCCTCATGTTGTCATCCGGGTCCTCTTTTGTCAGCCTCTGTGTGTGACTCAGTTGGCTGGGACGCAGTTCCTCTAACAGCCCTCTGCTGAGCCCTATTCAGCCCCATCGCAATCCACAAAGAGGAAGGTGAGAATTCTATCCCTGATACTCCCAAACAGCCCCCCTCCCACTCATCAAGGGAGCAGAAATGCACTCTGGCGTTTGGTATGCACTCTGAGCCTCTGCTTTCGAAGGTCTGGGTGAAGCTGGGCGTCTTCTTTGTCTGATTGCTTCCACTCCTGGTCCTGTGTGTAGCCAGCCTGAAACCTCACCGCGAGTTGGAGGCAGGGGGGGGCCCGAGCGACAGCACATTATAGCTGTGCAATCATTGGTGCTGGACATGAGGACATTAATGAAGCGCTAATGTTTAATTAATCAATTTGGTAATTGAGACAGGCATTGATGCTTTATGGGCACAGGAGGGGGCAGGATCACATGGGTGTAAAAACAGGAACCAGAGGGGCAGTGGCTTGCTGAGATCCCGGTGGGGGTGGGTGTTCTCACAGTGAACATTTGAGTCTCGCATGACCAAGCGGTCTCATGACCCCCAGATAGAGCGGCAGCGGGGGTGCTCACGAGCTGTTGAGGGCTCTGAGCCATCGCCACCCTCCACACAGCAGCACCCAGCCCTTGTCCCCCTCCTTTCATGGAGAAGACCCGAGTTTGATTCCCAGCCTGCACCCCATCTGGTCAGAGGGGCCTTGTGTGTGGCTGGGGTGCCGAGCTGGTTTCAACGGAGCTTCCAGACTAAGCCGGATTAGAGAGAAAATGTAGGGAACTGCTTCAGGAGACCAGCTGGTGAGGGCCCTGGGGACCAGCACACTGCCCGGGCTAGCTCGGTCAATCGATCAATGGTAGCTAACAACGATGACCAATGCCTGCCGCTGCTGCTGAGCAGATGTTAGAACCGGGATTGGGGGGACCCTCTCCCGCAGCCTCCCTTGGCAGAAGGTTGCCCGGGTCGCAGCTGTCCAGCAGGGGCTTGCTGTCAAACAGAGACAAGAGGTGCTTTGATGAGAAGAGCAAGGGACCCTGTTCGGCGGGGTGGTTTTACCTGAAGTGGAGAATCTCTCAGGTGCAGAGCTGGGGCCGACGGGAAGGGGGCGCTTGTCTCACCGGAGCAGGAAAGACGCGTTTCAAATGGGAGCTTTGTTCCTGCCACCATCTCGCAAAGGGACAGGGGTATCGCTGATGCTGAGAAGGCAGGGGGGTTTCTTCCTTCTGCCCCCAAGTGCCTTCAGTTTGGAAAGTCAGCTGTGGGCCATGGGGCAAGTGAGGTCCCCAGAGGGACAAGCACGCCCCTAGCCAAGAAGGACCTGCGAATAGGACTTAGCTCTGTTAAAGAGAGGCTTCCCTGAAGAGGCCGCATGTATATGGAAAGTGGGAAATTGTCCTGATGCTGGGACAGAGCCAATTCGGGAAGTGGGACGGGGAGGTTGGGGGGGTCCTGGGCAGTCAGGAAAGGCAGCCAGGAGAGCCCTGTGCCGGCACCAACCCAAACCCGGATTCACCAACCCAAACTCTGACCGGCATCAGAGTAGAAGTGTGCTCTGGAGGTCCCTCAAAGACCCCAGAAGATTGTCCAGGGTCTCCGGGTGGGCTTGAAGCTCCGACCTTTCAGTTAGCAGCTGAGCATGTTCACCGTTTGCAGCACCACCTGAGGACACGGCTCTCACCGTCTGTCTGTCGTGGGCCTTCCTCGGGCACTCTCCTCCTGTGAGAGCCGGTGGCTGTTGCTGGGACCCGGTTTAAAGCCAGCACAAGAGAACTCGCCCAGCCGCTGGAGGTGGCTGGAGCCACCCTCTGACCTCGCCTGTGGTCCCAGGAGGGGCGTTTTACGCACACTGTGGGTGTTTGAGTTTGTGCTACACAGACTGCCCTGGGAGCCACATGAACACTGGCGTGGACCTGTGTTAACCCAGGACTCGGCAGAGACCAACCCCAAGCCGAGAGCAAAGAGCCTACCTCTGGAGACCTGCCGAAGAGGACTGCCCTGTGCAGTACAGCCAGCGGCTGGCCCCTGGGACCGAGAATCTGCTTGCTTGGGTGCATGCATGTGCACAGGCTTGCACTCACATGCATCTATATGTAACAAAAGTGGTGTGGCCACACGCACACCCCTGCATATGAGTGCACACGCATACACAGACATGGGTGTGTCCATACGTGCGTGCACATACACATAGGCATGTATACGTGCACTCCTACATGCACACGTCTATACCCAACATGCAGCACATACATGGCTGTGCACACATGCAAGAGTGCTTAAACACAGAAATCTAAATACATTTGCATACACATACAAACACAACCAGGCGCGATTCCAGAGGCCGTGGGGAATGACTACCTGAGCGCATAGGATAGAAGGGTCCAGAAGGAACTGCAGATGTGAGGAAAGAGCAGGCGGGGGGCGGGGTGGGGTGGTGGACGGGGGGAAAGGCAGCAGTTGTAAAGCAGAACCCAATGGGAGGCGGGAGAGTGAAAAAGGCCATGACTGGGCCTCAGATTGTCTGGCAGGCGGCGGCAGCATTTCTCCACTAAGAACAGCTGAATGGAAAAGAAAGGTGAACAATGTCTTCCACGTGCAGATGGGGCAGGGGACACACAGGCCTGCAAAGGGACAGCCCAGGGTCCTGTGGTAGCCCTCAGGGCCCTCAGCCTGGCCGAGAGACTGGAGAGGTTGGCCGCAGAGCCCAGTGGGACCCCAGGCTGACAGTCTTGGATGGCCCAATGGGTCGTTTGTTTGGCCTTTCTTGTGACGACGGTCTTGTAACGCCCAGCGGGCGAGCAGATGGGACCAAGCAAGTAAGGTGTGTAGAACCGGAAACTTGCCCGTGGAACAAGCTCAGCTGCTAACTGAAAGGCTGCAGGTTCAAGAGTCGGTGATTTTGCCCCTCCATCTGGCTTCTTGACCACCCCTGGATCGAGGTGGCAGGAGCAGAGCATGTCCGCCAGACTGGAAGTCCCTGCATGGAGAACCTCTTAGGCCCAGCAGACAGCGAGAGTGGGACCCTAGAGATGGCGCGAAGCCAAGCCAGGGACCAGCAGAAAGGAAGGAAACGATGACTCAACGGCCTTCCTGGCCCACAGAGCGGAACACCGAGCGCCCTGACCAGAAAGAAGGCTTGCTGGCAGAGGGGGTACCTCCGGTCACCTGGCGGTGCTGAGCTCAGCACCCACAGAGCTGGAGGACTGAGTGTCCCCAGCTGAGGCTTGTTGTCGGAGCACTTACTGTGGCGCTTAAAGGCCCCCCAGGTGGTCCCCAAGGGGTTGAGAGGCTATGGGCCAGGGCCAGGCCTGTCTGTGGACGTGGCTGAGAAGCTGTCCCCAGCAAAGGATGGTATCCTGAATTATAATCCGTTACCTTCCTAAGAAACCCCATGGGTAGTGTGTGAATTGCGTGTGTAGCCGTTGTCGCAAAACGATGGAGCCCGGCAGAGCAGAAAGTGCCACGGGAGGGCGGCTGGTGTCAGAATGGGTGAAAACGGTGAGGGAGAGACCTCTCCCTCAGAGGAATCCGCAGGGGACGATACGAATGACGGTTCATTTCTCCCCTTCCCTTTGCTAGAGGTCAGACGACACTGCCACCACGCCAGTGTCCACATGGGGACGGCTTGGCCTCTGTCCCCCTGCCCCGGAGGCTGTGTCTTCTGGGGAAGGAAGGAATGAACAGGTT